AGTTATAGGGTCACTACAGCTTGGTGGTTAGAAGCACTGGAATTAAGAGTGCCTGATTCTATCACTGGGTGAAATGGTGGGTTTGAGAAGCCTTAGTTTTCACATCTATTTAATCAGGTTATTAATAGTAAGCACCTCATAGGGTAATTGTGAGCTACCCTGTGAGGTGAACTAATGTGGGTACATTACAAACACATGCTATTGTTATTATTAGTCCAACTCCTAGATGTTTTTCTATTAAGCCCTACGTCCCTAACCTAGGTTATAGAAATTCTACCTTACCTGGAAATCACACTATCCTTTTAATTTCCAAATGGGACTCCTTAACTCCAATTATACTCCTTAGATGTCTCAAACACTGCTCTCTCAGAACTGGTCCTAAACACAAATCCAAGAAAGTCAAAGTGATTTCAAAACCATTGGAGATTTTCCATTGCCTAAGGGATAAGTTTCAAACTCTAGTCTGGCATGCATAATTCTCCAGGAATAGACTCAGGGGCAGAACAGAAGTTGCTAGACAGAGCCCAGCAGTGACTACGTGAATGATAATTGCTTGTTAAAGGATAAATGGATTTAGAAGTCAAGCCTGGCCTTTACTTATACCTGTCAATAGTCAGGATCTCGAGTGGTGTTTCCTTATCTAGAGGCTCATTATCATATTCATTCCTTCCTTTGCTTAAATCCTGTAACCTTCCCAGCTTCCCTGACATGGCTTGGCCTTAACTATACTTGTTTTACTCTCTATTCTCTCCAAATAATTTTTCACCTGAACTTCTATTTACAGTTGTTCTTTTGCTTAAAACTTCCTGCCCCTCCAGACCAATATCCTGTGGAAATTTGATCCTCTCTACAATAGCCAACTGAAATTTCACCTTGTTCAAAAAGCCTTTTCACTTAAACTCTCATCTCTACCCTCTTAATATTGGATGGATTTCTTTTGCTGTTAGTCCCCTAGCTCACTGAAAGTACTTGATTCTAAGACTTAACACTTTCTTTCTTCTATCAGTTGTTTATCTGTCCAAAAAAACGGTAAGCTTAGATGACACAGTTAAAAACCTCAGTCCTTGGAAAAGGATGGGATTCACACAATTCAAACAATTTGAATTTAGAGACTCAGCAACTTGGTAGTCAGAAAGGTACTTGCTACAAACTTCTCACTGAAGTTTTCAGAGTCTCAGACTCTGGAAACTGTTAATGGAGAGATGTGAAGATATGATAACAGTTACTGTTTTTTAAAAATTTTAGTAGGCAGAAAACTCTAGAATGAATTTTATCTATAATTTGTTTTCTCAAACTACAATTAATTCTTGGACCACTTACATCAAATTAATCTGTGGTGCTTGTTAAGGATGCAGATTTTTTGGCCTCACTCAGACTTATTGATTTGGCAATTCTATAATGGCGGCCTGGGCATCAGCATTTCAAATTGCATATGATTTTCAAATCAAGTTTGTAATTCTTTTGATTGTTTGCATAACCATATTGTAACCTGGTGATCTGCAAAGTGTGTCATACTTTGGGGGTGGTTTCCCTGAGAATTTTTATTTATTTATTTACTTATTCTTTAAAAAAGATTTTATTTATTTTTAGAGAGAGGGGAAGGGAGGGTGAAGGAGAGGGAGAGGAACATCGATTGGTTGCCTCTCGACAGGGGACCAAACCCACAACTCAGGCATGTGCCCTGACAGGGAATCAAACTGGCAACCTTTTGCTTTGCGGGATGACGCACAACCAACTAAGCCACACTGGTCAGGGCTCCATGAGACTTGTTAAATATGATCTTCAAAAACAATTTTCATAATAATACTAGCACATTATTTGCCTTTTTCACTTCCTCACACAATATGCTGCAATTTTGCTGAAGCTACATGATGGGTGATAATCAAAACGAATGCAGGAGATGTGAAAATCTAGCTGTTTTCTATTAAGCCAGATACTAAAAACTTATAAAAATGTGAACCGATGGCTTTCTTTTAGGAAGTGACAATTATATATACAGACATTAAAATCATGATTCTAAAGGCATGAACTGTAGTTGAAAAGACTTGGGTTCTGAAACGGCCGAGTCCCTTCACCCCACTGGGACCGTTTTTCAGGACTGTACAAGGAGGGTGTCTGTAATGTCTTTCTTTCTGGCGCTCAGTCCGGGTTTCATGCATTCACACTGCTGGGAGGTGATTCTTTCTGATGAGGGGTCAGTTGTAAACTTAGTGGTAAGTCAGAGCATGTCATTTATCTGTGTACAAACTTTCAATTGTTTTCCATTGCTTTCCAAATAAAAGCCAAAATCCTTGTCGTGGCTCATAGACCCTACAAAATTTGGCCTGTTTCAGCCTCTGGCTGCATCTTCCTCTTTTTGCTTTAGTCACAGTGGTCGTTCTTCTTGTTCTTGACCTCGCTAAGTTTATTTCCACCAGAAGGCCTTTGCATTTGCTATTTCTTCTGCCTTGAATGCTCTTCTCCAGACGTTCATAAGGCTTATTCCCTCACTTTGTTCCATTACATTATCCTGTTTAATTTTCTTTAAAGCATTCACTACCCTCTTATAAATGCGATTTTTATTTTTATTAATTTTTTTCAATTATGGCTTACGTTCAGTATTTTTTGTATTAGTTTAAGGTGTACAGTCTAATGGTTAGACAATCATATACTTCACAAAGTGTCCCCCCCCCAGTATTTCCGGTATCTACCTGGCACCATACAAATTTATTCCAATATTATTGGCTGCCCTGGCTGGCGTAGCTCAGTGGATTGAGCGCGGGCTGCGAACCAAAGTGTCGTCGGTTCAATTCCTAGTCAGGGCACATGCTTGGGTTGCAGGCCATGACCCCCAGCAACCGCACATTGATGTTTCTCTCTCTCTCTCTCTCTTTCTCCCTCCCTTCCCTCTCTAAAAATAAATAAATAAAATATTTAAAAATATTGGTTATATTCCCTATGCTGTACTTTACATCGCCACGGCTATTTTGTAACTACCAATTCATACTTCGTAATCCCTTCACCTTTTTCATTTAGCCCCCAACCGCCCTCCCCTGTTTCCTGCTTCAGGGTCCGCCTCCACACTAGAATGTCAAGTACTTCAGAGCAGGACCACTGTCGGCTCTAAACCAGTGTGTCTGTCCCAAGCGCCCAGGGTAGTTCCTGGCAGGTGGTGGTCGTTAGGTAAATTTGGGATGCTCAATTCCTGCAGCTCAGGCCACGCCTTTGCAAAAAACCCCGCGGATACCCTAGCTCCCTTCCCCAACCCACCGCTCTGAACCTAGGCAACCCCAGCAGCTCCCCGGCAGCGACCCCCACGGAGTCTTCACTCACCAGTACGGCGCCGGGGCTTTTCCGGCTGGAGCAGCTTGACCTGGAAGTGCACTCGGCAAGGCGCGGCCTCCTCCGCTCTGAAAGAATACTTCCGGGGTAGTAGGAGCAGCTCGTCGGCTACCGTGGCGGCGGTGAGGGTGGCAGCAGGCTGGGTGCGGGGCTTCCAGGGAGGGGGCTGGTCGGGTGCGAGGTCCCGGAGCCGCCTCTAGCGGTCGGGGTCGCGGGGGAGGAAGACGAAGCGGTCTGGGGCTATGCGGCGGACACCTCGCGGCCGGACGCTAAGGCTGCGGAAGCGCTTTGGTTATTGAAGCGCTACGTTTGTATAAGGAAAACTCGTCCTGGACAAGATGTTGTCACCTTAGCGCTTGTTTACACTAGACTTGTTCTTGTATGTGGGAAGACGTGGGAGCGCATATTGTCCCTCTAGAGACAGCTTATTAATAACGATGCTAATCATGTGAACAACCGCAAGTACTGACAGTAGCTGACCCAGCCTCTGTTCCAAGCCCCTAACATGTATCGTGCCATTGAATGTTTATAGGAACCCTGTCAAATAGCTATTATGGCACTATTCCTATTCCTAGCATTTTGCAAACGAGGCAACGGAGACGCAGATGGGTGAAGTAACTTCCTCACAGTCACTGCAGTACAGAGTCGGCTGGAAGTCGCTCTAACTCCAGGGCCCGTGCTCTTGGCTACTAAGCTAAACCTCTTTTCCATTCCGCAAGTTCTCCAAGAAAATGAGTGTGTGTGTGTGTGTGAAGTGTATACATTTTTCCTTTTAAAAAAATGACTCAGCCATTTAGTTTTGCTTGTAAGATATCAGTGCTTGGAGTCTTTCTCCTCCAATTATGAAAATAACACACTTATTACAGAATACTTGGAAAACTTATCAAAGCATTAAATAGTGCCAATCCATGTACTTGGTATTTATTCCTCTCCCCACCTTTCCTGCTAGATTATGAATCCGTTGAGAATAGGGGTGGTGCAAGCCAACTAGTAAGGAATAAACAGCCAGCACGACAAAAACTCTTCCCATCTCGCTCAAATGTCTAGCACATTCCAGATGTTCATTAACTCTTTGTTACACAAATGAAAGAATAGCGATAACCAGTGTTTAGTATTTTAGAGTATGCTCTTCCAGTCTTTTATAAAATTATAGAAATTATTTATGTAGTATGTATACTATATATACTATGTGTAATATGCTATATTTAAAAAAACATATATATATATAGGTATTACTGTGTTTGGAGAGAGCATAAGGAGAGTGAAAAGATAGTTAAAAAGTACATATTCAACTACATAAAATATTAATTAAAATTCATGCCAGAACTGTGTAGTCTTTCCTTTTAGGTGCTTGAAGTAAGTGGGGCAGAGATTGTATCTTTATTTCTCAGCCTCCAGAGCTTGGTACCTAGTAGGTACTCAACAGATGTTTGTAAGCAGATGAATGAATGAAGGAGTATTACAGACTTGGTTTATATGTCTACAGGTGATTGTACCTAGATTATTTTTTCCTTTGTGTTTAGGGAATTATAAAGGATGTATATCATATAACCATATGACCTAGGACCCATGGTGTTTTATAAAAGTCTTTCTAGCTTATGCTTTCCCACCATTCTCCTCCCTGCCGTATTTGTTGCTGCTGCTGACATCCGTCCCTGGTCCATACTGTCAGACCTCAGGCCTTTGAGCGTTCCCATGTGTTGTTTCACACCCTTGTGTTCTCTCATTGACATCTTCATCTGTCGAAATCCGAAGTGCTCTTTGAAGCAGGCCTTGCAAGGTCAGATGCCTATAGGAGCTAATCAGGTAAAGAAACAGTCAGGTTGATTTGGGTGGAGATAATTTGTAAACAAAGTTTGAGTTTTAGATGTTAGCAATTAGTATTAAAAATGTTTAAACACTGTGCAGGCCAAATAAAACCATCTGCAGGTTGGCTTTGACATTCAAAAATTCCTGTTTGTGGCCAGTATTCTATGTTTATTTCAGATATGTTGTCTATGAATATTATTCCTTGTTTCTATTCCTTTTTTCTCTCTATATTTTAGCAATTTTGTGTATACCTCAATTATAGTACTCTTTCCAAGGTGCCTTAATTGTTAACACACTTCTCTTTTATTGTGCATTAGAAATATTTTTATGGCATGGATTGGGTCTAATTGTGCACTTAGTATATAGTAGTACAAAATCTGTGCTTATACACACGTAAGGTCTCATTGTGTGTGTATGTATGTGTGTGTGTATGTATGAGATACATTTATTTCGTCTCTGGTGATAATTTGGGTGTCCTGCAAACTAGCATCTGCTCTTTATAAAAATACCGATAGTATCTTAGCTTTAATTGCCAAAGAGCCATACTTCTGAAAAGAATTTAATTGGTTAACATTGCTTTTCAGTTGCTGGTCTGATGTAAATCATATCTGTTGGAATGATTAATGACTAAAAACATTTTTAAAAATGTCAGTATAAAAGGAAAAATTGATAAATTGGACCTCATTGAAATGAAAACATTTTGCTTTGTGAAAGACCCTCTAAAGAGGATGAAAAGATAAGCTACAAACTGGGATGAAATATTTGCAAACCACATATCTGACAAAAGACTTGAATGTAGAATATAAATGGAGCTCTCAGAACTCCAGGGTAAAAGATAAAATCCAATTAGAAAATGAGCAAAAGATACAAATAGGTATTTCACAGATGGCAAACGAGCACATGAAAAGATGTTTGGTACCGCTAGCAACTAGAGAAATGCAACTTAAAGCCACACTGAGATATCATTACACACTTATCAGAATGGCTCAAGTAAAAAATAATACCACCAAATGTTGGTAAGAGTGTAAAGAAACTTGATTACTAATACATTGCTGGTGAGAATGCTGTTTCAGAAAAGAGTATGGCAATTTCTTAAAAAATTGAATAAGTACCAGTGATGGTGCTCTTGGTCATTTGTTCTGGAGAAATGAAAGCTTATGTTTTCATAAAAAGTTGTCCATGAATGTTCATAGCTGTTTTATTTGTAGTAGTCCCAAACTGGAAACAGCTCTGATATTCTTCAACAGTTAAATGGTGAAACAAACTAAGATACAACCATACAAAGGAATACTACTACTCAGCAATAAAAAGGAGAAGCTGTTAACACAACAACTTCGATGGATCTTGAGGGTCTTAATGCTAAGTGAAAAAAGTTGATCTCAAAGGTTACATACTCTATGACTGCATTTATATAACATCTTGAAATGACAAAATTATAGAGATTGTGAACAGACTAGTGGTTATCATAAGATAGGAGGAGAATGAGATATAGCTATAAAAGAATAACCCAAGGGATCCCTGTGATTGAACGTTTCTGTATCCTGACTGGTGATGATCACAGAAATATATATATGATAAATTTTTGTAGAACTAATTACACATGCACAAAATGACTGTTGAAATCTGAGTAAGGTTGGCAGATTATCAGTATCTTGGTTGTGATATTACACTATAATTATACAAATTGTTACCATTGGGGGAAACTGAGTGAAGGGTATGTCAGATTTCTTTGTTATTTCTTAAACTTGCATGTAAGTCTGTGATAATCTCAAAATAAAAATTTAAAAAATAACTTACACAAAAAAGCCTATATAATTAGTTTTTTCTTGGGCCTTTATTTTACCAGGTGATGATCTAATCATGTCGGATAAAGATGATATTGAGACTCCAGTGATAACTGAAGCAGTCCCCAGCCTTGAAGATGGGAACTCTGAGCCGGCCAAGAATTCTGAGTCTGTTGACCAAAGTATCAAGCATGAGAGTAAACCAGAACCTGTAGTTTCTACTAGGAAGAGACCAGAGTCCAAACCTCCTAGTGACCTTGACACTTCAGAAGTTCTTCCTGTTCAAGCACCACAGGCTGCAGGCAAAGTAGAGTATCTGTTAAAAATTGAGATTAAAAAATGATAGGGTTAAAAATAATTTGTAATCAATGTCAATTTAGGATTGTACCTATTTTTTCCTTTTATAACCATAAAATAATATTTTCAGTTTCATAAATGAGTAATTGTCTTTGCTCTGTGGTGCTTACATGCAGGTTACATATATCTGTCAGTTTAACAATACATTTCTTGAGCCAAATAATATGTGTTTGTTTGCCCATACTTTTGGCCAATAATTAGATGCTTTGTCTGTAGACTCTTATTTTCCTCTAATTTTTAAATTTTCTTTTGCCTTTTGTTTTTCTGGCTACTGGGAAAAATAGGAGACTGTTTCCAAAGATGTACCCCAGACTGGATGGGGCTACTGGGGCAGCTGGGGCAAGTCCTTGCTTTCCTCAGCCTCCGCTACAGTAGCCACAGTGGGTAAGGTTGTCAGTTATCTTATTAATTTTTATGTGTATTTTGCTATAGATCTGTGTTAAAAGTGATTTTATTAATTTCTCTTTTATGTTTACTTTATCATTTGAGGACGCATTAGTAATGAGTATTACAGCCACTAGAATTTGCAGCATTTTCTCCTTACAAGGTTGATGTGTAGGACTTGTTAATATAAAACTATTCTTTGGTGACAATGAATTATTTTTTTTTCTTTTGGTAAGGATACATTTCCCAAAATTATGTAAGATCAAAATAACATGTTCCTGTGGCTGTAATGAAATTAAAAATCTATGGGTTTGACTTTCAGTTTGTTCAGATTTGGTGACTAATAGCAAGTAATATTGGAATATAAAATGTTGTCATTTTTCTTGTTAGGACAAGGTATTACAAATGTCATTGAGAAGGCAGAAATTTCCCTTGGAATCCCTACTCCCAGTGAAATTTCAAATGAGGCCCAATATGCAACAGGTCAGTATATAGAAACATGAAGACCTAGAATTATGTATCAAAATGGAAAGGTTGACCTCATTTTTTAGTAGAAAATTATTGAGTGTCTGATATTCAAGGCATGATAGGACTGGTGAGAAAGGGCAGTTGGAATCTTTGGCTGATAGAAGTCTGTGTCATTTCACCACTCATGTATCACTTCACTTTCTTCATCTGTGAAATGGGATGATATTATATATTTCAAAGGATTTTTATAAACTTTAAATAAATAAGGCCATGAGTGTAGAATGTAAAAATTGCCCATTATATTGCTTGCCACAATTAGAGTTTAGTAAGAGTTTGCTGAATTTGAAACTATCATGGTACGAAAAAATATTTTAATGTGTTAATTTTGGGGGTGTATTTTTGTGCTTGGACTTTTATGAAGATGAAATTTAATTCTGGAGGCCTGCCTTAGTCAAGTAGAAACCTCTTAAGCCTAAAGGACAGAGTTATAACCAAGGATCAAGAAGACCTTGCATCACAAAATGGAAGGCTTTTTCAGGGTCTGAGTTTGCTTTCTTCATACCTCAGGGGCTTTATTATCTCCCATTCTTGCTTTCTCTGCTCATCTGTATCATTTTTTTTTCTAATCACTGACTTTCTCTGCTTGTTGTCTCCTGCTCCAGCTTTATATTGAGTCCTAATATAAGTACCCATCAGGTACTGTTTGGTATTAGTTATTTCTATCTTTAAATTCCCAGGAGAGAGAATTATATCAACCTAAAGTTGGATCACGTGCCCTTACAAGGTCAACTCTGGTTACAAGACAAGATCACATTACATAACATGACCGTAAAGGACTACATGAATGAGTTGGTAACACTGTTCTTACTCATATCTGCATCACACTACTTTGGCTGCGGGGAATAGAATATGTGACCAAAAGTCAGTTTATTTTTCTCATGAGAACTTCAGAAATAGGCTGTTCCAGGTTAGTGGCTCATTGATGGCAGAGTTCTGCATTGGCTTCTCTGCAATTTTCCTTGTCTCTTTATGGTTACCAGATAATACTGCAGCTCCAAGTATAGTGTTCTAATACAGCTGTGCTCAAAGTCAGGAAGTTAGTGGATGCCATTTATCCTTCCTTTGAAGAGGAAAAGCTTTCCCAGCAGCCCCCAGCATATTTCTCAGATTTCAGTGGCTCTAACAGGATCTTGTGTTTTTGTTTTTTTTTTTAAAGATTTATTTATTTATTTTTAGAAAGGGAAGGGAGGGAGAAAGAGAGAGAGAGAGAGAGAAACATCAATGTGCAGTTGCTGGGGGCCATGGCCTGCAACCTAGGCATGTGCTCTGGCTGGGAATCGAACCTGCGATACTTTGGTTCACAGCCCACGCTCAATCCACTGAGCTACGCCAGCCAGGGCTAGGATCTTGTGTTTTTGCTGTAGCAGTAAGAGGTGCTGGGAGAGTGAGTTTTGGTCATAATAATAAATCTCCATATCAGGAGGTAGGCTTAGCAGTCAAGGAAAAGGGGATTAGAAATGGCTTTGAATAGATAACAGCAATATCTTCCACAACACCTAAAAGTGTACCACACAAGCCATGTTTTAAGAAGGGCATTGAAAAATTGGAGTGAAAAAAAAACAAAACAAAACTGGAGTGAATCCTGAAAAGAGTGAGCAGATAGAACTACTGTCTTACAAGAGAAAGTTGAAGGCATCATGGAAATCGAATCTGGAAATCTGGGAAAGGGAGATTGGGAGAATAGGTTGGCTCTTTTCATGTGTCTGAAGACTATTCTGGAGAAGAGGTTTATTTGTGGCTCATAAAAAGAGAACTATTATTATGGAAAGTTACATGTACTTAGATTTTAGTTTAATAATGAGTTTTTTTATTTTATTTATTTATTTTCAGAGAGAGGGGTAGGGAGAAAGAGAGGGAGAGAAACATCAATGTGTGGTTTCCTCTTACAGGCCCCCTACAGCCAACTCAGGCACGTGCCCTGACTGGGAATTGAACCAACAACCCTTTGGTTCACAGGCCAGCACTCAACTCACTGAGCCACACCAGCCAGGGCTAATAATGAGTTTTTTAAAGAGTTAAAAGATTATAAAGAGAACTAAAGTTCCCGAGGAGGGGGTTTAATTCCTCTGCTAATGGTGTTGTAGCTGGGAGGTCTCTTTTCAGAACTTTAAAGGTAAACCAGAGGCCACCAGTGGAAATCATTCAGTCATCTTTTAGGGATGGGGTGGGAGTGGAGTGTTTGATCCAAAGACTATGGTTGAATATACCTGATAATGTCAGGAAAGACGAGTAATCAAGGAAATAAGACATAAGTGATGTAACCTGGGATTCACACTATTTGTTGAGAGTTTACGCTTCCAGTGTCCTATCTTTATTCTTTTATGCTTTTTAACCCCACAGTCCTTTGCCATTTCTAAAACTGTCAGAATATGAGAAATGAATGCACTAGTAGGTTAAGGAATAAAGCATGTTTTATGCTTGCATTTGCATCAAATGCTCATTTCCCTTCCTAGTGTAATTAAGCATTACCTTTAGGCATCAAAACTATTGTAGGAAGATTATTTTTCTGAACTCAATTCATCCCACTAATTCATTCAACAAAAATTTATTGAGTGTCTACTTGTGTGAGGCACTATTGTAAGTGCTGTGGAGATATCAGTGAACAAACCAAACAAGGTTCTATACTTCAGTGGTAAAATGAAATGAAAAAATATAGAGAGGTTTTTCATTTTGGATCTAATGGATGAACCCATTGTTGAAAGAACTAACCAGCACACAAATCAAATAAAGCCAGATGTGGCTGAGGTTCAAGGAAAGGACTGGAAACTTGGAGCAATTAACCTAACGTTTTCATGAAGGAAAATATTTGGGTTGGATCTTGAGAATGGGTATGGTTTTGACAGATGGAGAAGCTGTGGTGCAGGGAGTTTGAGGTTAAGGGAACAGCATGTATGAAAAATAAAAAAGTGAGAGGGCATGAGGGTATCTGGGAAAGAGAGAAACCCAGGATTTGTGTAGGGATGGAGGAGAGACAAGCCTGAAAAGTGGGTTACATGTCCTAGGGATTTTTGTTTATCAAGAAAATCACTTTTAAAAAACTTTGAAAATAGCAATGCTCATTATAGAAAAACTTAGTAAAAAAAAAAGGAAGTTACAAGCAGCTAAGTGGAAAAATCAGATTCTATCCAGAAATAACATTTGGTGTACATATCATTCCAAAATTTTTTGTGAATGTGAGTAAGCACATTTAGAAAACTGTAATTGTACCTACTTTTAAAAAAGACCTGCCTTTTAAAAAACCCATCATGTTCTGTGTCAGTAACATGCCAACATCATTTTTAATAGCTGCAGGGAATTCCATTTATGTAGGTGTATTTTGAATATATAATTAATCATTTCTGAAGCATTATGCACAATGTTAATATTCTTATACTTACGTCTTTTTGCAATTAGTTTTTAATAGAAAATTCTAAACCTGGAATTGCTAAGTAATGGGGTACTCTCAGATAAAATTTAGATGCAATTTGCCAGATTACTGTCTAAATAACATTTTTGAAGAGGAAAAAGGGAAAGCTTTCCCCTCATTTATACTCCATGCATATTTAAGAATGTGGAGAGGAGCTGTGTATATTTATCCACATAATTACCATTTCTGTTGACCATTCTTTTGTTCACCAGCTGATTCCATTTTCCTTCAGCTTTAAGAATTTCCTTTACATTTCTTATTGGTGCAGATTTGCTGACAGTGAGTTCTCAAAGATTTTGTTTGAAAAAATTCTTAAGATATTTATTTATTTATTTATTTATTTATAGAAAGGGGGAAGGGAGGGCGAAAGAGAGGAAGAGAAACATTGATGTGAGAGAGAAACACTGATTGGTTTCCTCTCGCATGCACCCCAGTGAGGGGCCGAACCCATAAACCAGCCATGTTCCCTGACTCAGAATCGAACTGGCAACCTTTTGCTTTGCTGAATGATGCTTAGCCATCTGAGCCACACTGCTCGGAGCTGTTTGAAAATGTTTTTGTTTCCATTTTTAAGGATTTTTTTTTGTTTGTTTATCCTTCCATTTTTAAGGATAGAATTCCAGGATGACATTTTCTCCCCCTTTTATCACTTTAAAAGTGGCATCTAATTGGGTCTGGCTTACATTCTTTCTGTTGGGAACTGGCTGCTTCTACAATTTCTTTTTATCACTGCTCCTCAGCAGTTTTGATTCTAATTTTTTGGGGGGTGTTTATTCTGCTGTAGATTCATCAGACTTCGTGGATTTATGAGATATAATCAGATTTGGAAATGTTTGGCCATTGCTCATGTAACTTTTCTGTTCCCAGGTTTTTCCTGCTAGTGTTCCAGGCACACATTTCTTAGATAGTGATTATCCCACAAGTTCAAGTTCACTGCTATTTTCTTTTGCTGTGTCTAATGCTGTTAAGTCCATTCAATGACTTTTTAGCTTCAGATACTGTATTTTCAACTCTAGAAATTCTATTTGTTTCTTTTTTATGTCTTCTACTTCTCACTTCCTTATGTACATATTTTAGTATCCTTGTCTGCTAATTCTATCATCTGTTATTTTTTATTAATTTTTTTAATTTGAGGGCCTGTATTGTGTTTTTTTTCTAATACACGTATACATACGATAAAGTTTAATTTATAAATTAGGCACAGCTTATCTCTGTTATTTGAGTCTGTTTCTATTGACCATTTATTTAACTGGATGCTGGACATCACAAATATTACGTTGTTGAGTAGATTTTGTTGTCTTTTAAAGGGTGTGAATTTTGTTTGGCAGGCAGTTAAGAGATTTGTAGCTTACACTGATCCTTTTAAGACTTATTTTTAAGTTTCTTTAGGGTGAATCTGAAGCAGCCATTACTCTTAAGTGCTAGTTTAGCCCTACCACTAAAGCCTCTGGTCTGTCTGAAGTCTCTACCTAATTCCAAGGTGTCAAACTAGGCCTCTCTAGTTTAACAGTGGTTGGTCAGAAGTCAGATGTCATGTAACCTGGCATGAGCTTTGGGCGTTGTTTAGTTTATAGCTCCATGGTAGTTTTTGTCTAGTATCCTGGAGTCTCCCAGTGCTATTTAGCTTAGTATTTAGCCTAAGACTCAAGAACACTCTTGCATAGGTTCCTGGAACCCCTTACCTCTCCATACTCTGACTTGCAAATTCCAGGTGCTTCGGCCTTCCTAGGATAAAACTTAAAATAGACTAGATTTGAAAAAGCCATGTTTACTGAGCTGTAATTTACAGACAGTAAAGTTCACTCTTCTTAAGTATGTGGTTTTACATGTTTTGACATACATCCAGTCCTGTTTACACTGTAGTCACAGTCCAATGTGATTATACAGATAGTATTTTCTATATATAGGCAATCAAGATACAAGAATGTAAAAAAAAGATGCAAGAATGTTTTCATTCAAAAGTTCCCTCATGCGTCCACCTACTCTCAGTTCTTGACAATCACTGATCTCAGCTTGCTGACTCTCTAGTTTACTTTGTTCAGAAGATCATGTAAATAGAACCACACAGCATAAACCTGTTGTGATATATACATGCCAATTTTAAAATAAAAAGGTAAATAGCTATCTATATATCTCTCAGTTATTTGTTCAAAAGACTGGATTTTATTTCTGAAATGAAAATGAAAAGAGCTATTTTACCTTTATTTTAAAACAAGTAAATAGTTTAATAAAACAAAAAAGGCTAATACCTTGTATGTGGGAAGTAGGGTCTAGTTTTTAAAAAATCCACATAGGTGCTAACAAAACAAAAGTATTTATGAGCCATCTCTTTATGTCTGCATATCTCCTTCCTCCTGTAGGGGAGACAAATGCCAAAGAGAATGAAAACTCCTCCCCAGTGACTGGACCATTTGGTGTATTCTCGACCATCTCGACTGCTGTTCAGAGCACAGTGAGTGTAAAATGCAAGGTGTTCCTCTCCCTTCCATGATCGCACCGGGTTTCTGTCCCTCCTTCCTTGAAAAGCCGGGGGACTAATTACTCTTATGGCATTCCAAATCACTGAAGATCAGTTACTTTGATCTTAGGGATAGAGTGAGAACTACTTGAAAACTTTCTTTAAAGGAGGGAGCAGGAGGTGAAATGTAACAGAGAGGCAGTGTACATCATGTTTTATGGACTAGGGGTTCTTACTTTGGTGGCCATAGAAAACTGCTTTAAGAAAATATTTTCCTCATAACTGCATCTTTTAGGCAAAGGGGAAATATTATATTTATGATGGATACTTGTAAAACTATACATGACTAGACACATTTTTTAAAGGGTAATATAAACATCTTTCCTATATGAGGGTAGATAGCTAGTACTTTCAAATTTTAACTTTTTATTGAAGTGTAACACATTTACAGACGAGTGACATCCTACGTGTTCAGTTTGACTTCTCATAATGTGAACACATTCAGGCTAACGAGCAGCGTGGTGGTATGTCAGATGGCCCCTAGGCTGTTTCCCCATCATCTGTGCCTTCCTCTCTTGCCTATCAAGATAGCCATCGTCCTGACTTCTGCCATCATAGATTAATTTTGCCTGCTTTTAAACTGTACATAAATGGAATCATACAGAATGTATGCTGTTGTATCTGGCTTCTTTCACTCAACATTATGTTTATATGATTTATCCATGGTGAAGTTTGTGTGACGTATCTATATTCTTTGCTGTGTTCCATTGGGTGACTGTGTGATATTTATTCATTCTGCAGTTGGTGAGTATTGGGGTAATTTCTAGTTTTTAGCTTTTTTACAAAAAGGCTGCTGTGAGCATTCTTGTATGTCTTTTGATGAGCCTCTGTATAAACATCTACTGAATATGTAACCATGTGTGGAGTTGCTGGGTCGCAGGACATTCATAGGTTCAGCTGTAGTAGATGATAACAGTTTTCCAAAGTGGTTATACCAAGTTATATTCTCACAAGCAGTGTATGATTGTTTCAATTGCTTTATATTCTTGTCTGTACTTGGTATTGTAAGCCATTATTTTATATAGTCAAAACACATAGGTGTCTTTTTTCAGTATTATTGTAATGAGATTGCATGTGTTTCCTAGGGAAAGACCGTTATCAGTGGGGGTTTGGATGCCTTAGAATTCATTGGGAAAAAGACAATGGATGTAATAGCAGAAGGAGATCCTGGATTTAAAAGAACCAAGGATCTAATGAACCGGAATTGTACACTATCTCAGGTACTGTCTTTACCTGTTTGCTTCCTCTTTCTGTTTTTCTTAAAATTATTTATTTTTAGAGAGGGGACGAGAGGGAGGAGGAGAAGGAGAGAAGCATCAGTGTATGGTTGCTTCTCACAGACCCCCTACTGGAGACCTGGCCCACAACCCAGACATTTGCGATGTCTGGGATTTGAACTGGTGAGCCTTTGGTTCACAGGCTGGCACTCAATTCACTGAACCACACCAGCTGGGGCCCTGTTTCTATTTTGATCTGTATTTTTGCCTGTTGTAACTTGGGATGCTGTTAGCATTTCCTTTAGGGAAATTTTTAATAATTTTTTAATTAAGGCTTGTGTGGGGGGGGGTGGTGGGATAGGAGAGGTGGGAGTGCTCTAAAGGTTAGAAAACTCCCTTGTTCTTTTTTTTCCTCTGCTTTCCTTCTGACAGGAGCCTCCTGTCAGTGCAGTGTAAGATGCCAAATCCTTTCAGAGTTGTTTATTAGATTAATATTTAAACTACTTTCAGAGAAACACCTGGTTCCTTGGGTTTATTTACTCTGTCTGGAATCAAATTATGTGTGATCATTTTTTCCCTGCGGCTCCTAAGCCTAGCAGATTTGAATCACAATGCCAGGAATGAAAGGGTAGTAGTAGGTTTACACTGTTACTCATCTCAGCTTTGCGTCCCTCGTCCCTCGACTCTCAAAACTCACCCTTGAGCTCTCGTTACTTGTTTCAGGGTAATGCCTCTCTCTCTTTTTCAGATTTTACGAGAGGCGAAGGAGATAGAAGAGCAGTTGACCACCAATGAGGTTACTATGGAAACGGACAAGAAAACTCATTATGGGCTACTCTTTGATGAATTTCAAGGCCTTTCACATCTAGAAGCTCTGGAGATGCTTTCTCGAGAAAGTGAAGTAAAGGTGATTCTAAACCAAAAATTTCAACTGGAATAGTCTTTAATAGTTTCTTTTCTTTTTGTACAGTTAGAAGATGAAATTTCAGATGGAGCCTTGAGACTCTGAGAATACTGTGCTGAAACAAACTAGAAACTAATGCTTGAACTAATTGCTAGGAACAGAATGAGTCAAGTGTTATTTCTCTAAATTTAAACAAAAAAGGGAAAAATTAACAAAGAAGTCTTAATAGCACATTTGTTATTTTTTCTTGACTTTGGTCTTTTTTTTTTTTTAAGTTTTTTTGGCTTAAGCTGCCAATTTGGATATAGTTCACTGTTAGCTTTTAATTAATTCAAGACTTTTATTTCCCCCCTAATTTCTAAGCCATTGTTAAGCACTAATAATTTGCAGACATTTCTACCTTATATTATTTTTGGAAGCACAAATTCTACCTTTCTGTAATGACCAGCTTGTATTGAGGTTCTTAAGGAATAGATTGTGTTGGCTAGTGAGCTCATAATTTGATTTTAATTTGATCTATAGCCTCTTCTTCATTTGAGAATGTTTTTCTTCTTCTTTTATATTCCCACAACTTACTATTTTATGTTATATTGATTCAGGTGAAATCTATTCTTAATTCTCTAAGTGGAGAAGAATTAGAGACTCTAAAACTTGAATTGGATCAACTGAAAGAAGCATTTTCCCTAGAAGAGTTCTCTGAGGAAGAGGAGGAAGAGAAAAAAGGTAATAGGAAAAGCCAGCATGTGAGTGGGAAGATGTATGTAGTGTGTTTAAATGCACTGTATTGCCTTTAAAATAAATTACTTTCTCTCTGACTACACTAGCCTGATTTTACTTTTTTCATTTAGTATTTCCATGCACATTCTCTGCAGCCTTGCCCCCGACTAGACATTGTTGTGAGCAGCTGGCAGTGTGTGTGTGTCTCCCTATGACAGCCCTCTACCCCCAGACTCGGTAGCTTCTCCACAGAACAACATATTGTAGCAGACTGAATGTATCAAAGATTTAAAGACCTGTCTGTAAATTAAACATTAAAGAGTTTTGCAAAGATTTAAAACATGGCATTTGTATCACTGAAATTTTCCTTTTTTTTTGAAAATATAATATTCTTAAAAAGTATGTTAATTATTTTTAAAAGTATATTTGTGTTAATGAGTAGTGGGTTTATTGTTATTTTAATGAATTAATAAATACTTCAAGCATTTTAGTTTGAAATTTTAAAGTGATACATGTTGATTTGATATATAATATACATTAAAAAAGAGTCTTTGGGGTTCTGAGAAAGTTTTAAGAGTGTAAAGGGGTCCGGAGACCAAAAGGTTTCAGATCTGCTAGGTTAAATTCTCATAAACTGCTATACTTTTAGAAATGCCTCTAATTGTTTTTTAAAAATTGTGCATTGTTATTTCCTTCTGTGCATTTACCTGCCCATTTTAAAATTCTCTTCACTATCATTGAGCTTGCTTCTGATTCTCTTCTCTAAACCTCATTTTCTATTTCTAATCTGTAACGAATGGAAAACCAGATAACTCCTTTTATTTAAATCGTGTGTTAGAAGCAGAGTGCTGTGGGTGATAATCGTAGGATCTTTCTTGTGAGAGAAGGAAGTAAAGCTGAATGTGTGGATTCTGGACTCAGATGGATTTTTCTTTTTGTTCCCATTTGTGTTCTGCCCTGTGTTCTAAGAAGTCAGACTGGTTGGTTACATAACATTTTGCTAAATGACATCTTAACTCTACGGCAAGAATCCTGATAAGAAGTGGTTTTTGAAAGTAAACTTTTGAAACTGTCTTGAGGTATTGAGAAGACAATACCTCAAGCATGGGGGATGAAAGCTGGGCTTAGGCCTGGGTTCAAAATCCAGATCTACCATTTACTAAGCCATGTAACATTGAGAAGTTACTTAACACTGAGTTTCTGTTAACTTCAACCATAAGAAGAGGATGCTAATTCCTCTCAGATTGTTATTAGGACTAAATGAAATGTTATACATAATTTGTGCTACATAATAAGCACTCGATAAATGATGGCTATTATTTTCGTTATTAGGATGGCATAAGTAAATACAGGGTCCGGGAGAAGTAAGGCCTGCTTGAGTGTGGTTGGTAGGGTAATAATATGGGTGTAATAATTTATAGTTGTAATTTGAACATTCACCTAAAATGTCATGTGGTATGCTTGAGTATGATATTGTCATATTCTAGAATTACATGCTTATGATTTTATAATAAAAGATTTTGTAATAAAAAAGGGGCATTATTTTTGCTGGACCCAGTACATAGAGATCTGCATTTTAAAAGTCTCATTTAGCAGGAAACCCATACATTAATTTTGATTTGCTTAAGTTTCTTTAGTGTTTCTAACCAAGGCCTGGTGTGACAATCCCTAGTTATTTATAAACTTAAGTTGTTTGTACATAGTGCTGTTAACAGTATTTGTTCAACTTAGTCAACATCTGGCTTTTGCATAGTAATCAGAAATCTTGATCTTTAAATACCTTTTAGAGGACTCTAAGGAGATTTCAAACAGATCGATTTGTGTTCTGTGATATTTTTCTCTTCAGTCCATTTGCCAGAGATCAGGACTCTGCAAAAATGGCCGTGGAGTGCTGCTTGCCCCTGTTCCTAACAGCCCTCCCCAGTGAATTTGGTTGAGAATGCAGCCTCGGTATTTAATTATATCTCAATGAAGTGGATAAAAAAAGTGGTGGCAGCAGAGGGGAGAGAAAACCATAGAAGCTGGTTCTGGTGACATTGGACATCTTTATATCCATCAGCCTATAGCCCTTGCCCCTGTTTTGTGCAGCTGATCATTTCGCTTTGGAAGGAGACATGTTGGGGAAAAGGAGACATGTTTGGAAAGGAGATGTTAGCCTGTCTCCTGAGTCCCTCCAAAGCCCTGGCCCTGTCTCCTTTCCATCCTTGTATACTTTTATTCTAGTGCAACAGCTGCTTTTTATGCTCAGGTCTGTGGGGGAATACATGACAATGGTCTCCAAACATTTTTTCATCAACTCTTAGCAGTAAGAGTTTTTTGAGCACTTAGATATTTGAATATTTATAAATTATACACACTTAATACTATAATAATATATTACTTACATTCTAAAGTATACCCTAAAATAGAATTTCTAAAAGAATGAGATAAATGTCTGTAAATTAAAGTTTCATATTTTTCCCCCTGTCCTCTACCGGATTATTTTGTGAACCCCTTTGGGTGCATGTATCCTAGTGTAGATTCAGATTCACCCCTTGCACTCACATAAATTTGAGCTTAGCTGGGAAAACAAAATGCCTGCCTAAGAATCAGGTTTCATACTTTTAGACAGATATGACTAGGAGTTGCTTCTGTGAGTTCTGTCAGTTACGGGAGTAATCGTTTAGTGAGATCAGCTTTTCCCAAAGCTGTTTACCCGGGACCACTAAGCCATTTGACTTCTCTGCCTTAACTGCCAAGAGAAGGACAGAAGAATGGTAGATGGAGAGAGAAGAGCCAAGATAGAATTTTTTTTCCCTAAGGATTTTGAAGAAGAAGCTGCTCTGAAGCAGTAGTAATTGGCTCTGATAAACTGTGAGGTTGGTGCCTAAGAAAGACTCATACAGATTGTTAGTGCTAGGAGATTTCTGTGTATAAGAGTTCTCGCTGCATTCTGTAGTATGCATTCTGTAGTACAGAGAAGCCTTGGGCTGAGCTTCAAAGGGGATATTGGATAGGATTTAGATGAAAAGGGTGGAGAAGACCATTTTCTGCCATTTGTTTGTGTGTGTTGTTTTTGATCTTGACTCACCTGTTTACATGTATGTTTCCAAAGCATGAGTATCCCGTGTTCCCCATCGTCTCCCACTAGGCCTATTCCAGCAGCATCCTTACCATCCTTTCAACATTGTGGAGTCTCTTTCCTTTGTTTTTATCCACCATTATTTTTCACCTGCATTCTGGATTATCACCTTAGCCTTCTTGCCTCCCTTCCTGTTCCCCTTTCAGTCCACCCCTCTCCCCCAGGAGCCAAAGTTGACCTTTCTAAAATTTAAATATGACATATCTGTCTATGTTTAAAATCATTCAGTGGCTCCTCATTCCCTTAATTAAAAGTTTGAGTTCCTCAGCATGATTTATAAGGCCCTGGATCCTGCTTACCTTCCTAGCTTCACTTTACCCTTGTTCTTTCTCTTATATTAAGACATTCCCAAGCCCTGGGTGGTGTGGCTCAGTGGATTGAATGTTGGCCTGTGAACCAGAGGGTCGCTGATTTGATTCCTAGTCAGGGCACATGCCTAGGTTGCAGTCCAGGTTCCCAGTAGGAGGTGCACCAGAGGCAAACACACACATGAAGTTTCCCTCTCTCCCACCCTTCCCCTCTGTCTAAAAGTAAATAAATAAAGTCTTAAAAAAGAAAAAAAAAGATACTCCCAACCATATTAAACGTCTAACCATGCTTTCTTTCACCTTGGATCTTTGTACTTGTTTTCTGTGCCTGAAACTCTTTCCATTCTCCTAACTAAACTTGTACTGATTTATTTTTGTTGCAGTTTAGGATTTATATTGGGACACTTCCTTGGAAGCACATGCATAGTACTTGCTTAGGACTCTGCCTTCACTAGTGGTCCATTTATACTTCTGGGATGTAATACAAAGAGCACAGGATTTGAACTTGGGGTAGAAAGGCCAAAATTTGACTCCTAATTTGTTATGAGATTTATGGGAAACAAATAAACCTCTTCAGGTTCTAGTTTCTTCATCTCAAAAATGGGATAATGACACACTGTTTGTAAGTCCATTTCAAGAATTCATTGATACATTTATCAGAATTCTATAAGCACTAAAGCACCATGCTCATAATTACTGCTATTATTATACTGCTATTAACACTACTGCTCCCACCACTCCTCTTCTTGTCTTCTTCCTGCCCCACCCTTCCTGTCCCCATGACCCTCACTCCCCTGTCTTTCTACAGTGTTTTTATGGGACTTTTTTTTTTTTTTTTTTTAGGGGATGAAGACTTTACCAAAGAGATAACAGAGCTATTTTCCCAGCTTCACGTCTCCTCCAAACCAGAGAAACTTGCCAGGGTAAGTGATTACTTCTTGGTGATTTTCTTTCTTTTTCACTTTTTACTTGCATGGATTCAGTGGATAAAGAAGGTAAGACTGTAAATTCCTAGTGAGGATGTCACCAAAATTGAGGGTATATTCTGAGTTTCTGCCGCTTCCTGCTCTCACAGGTTAGCATGCTGAACTCACATCTGCACCCCCTCCCATTCCCCTGGAACACACACATGTGCCATCCTCACCTGTTTTTATTTGGTGTGCTTTGGTTGTCTGAAAGTTTAAATTAGGTCACAGAGTTGGTCAGCTAAAGTTGGCAGTGCTCACCAGCCTTCATGATACCAATGGGCCAGCTTCTGTTGACGTTTTAACTGTTTGCAGCACTCTGAATGTTTCAGAGAACATTTCAGGACTGTGGCCCCAGCCCTTAGGAAGCTAGAGGTTGCCATTTCCTAGAGCCCAAGGACTCAGGTAATGACCATTTAGGTTGTGGAAATAAGAGAGTCCCATGGCCTAGGCCTTGGTCTTAGGTGGTGGTACCTGAGCTGCCTTTCACATCTGGAACTTGGAGGGACTTCAGGCAAAGCCTGTTCCCAGAGCAGCACCCACATAGCTTATATGCCAGTGTCAGCTAATGGGACGTTTAACTGGATCTTGGGCTGCTTGCTGCCTCTTCACCCTCCTCTCCCGCTCTCCAGAAACATTTGGGGACCAGTTAACACCAGGTATCCATTGCCTCCTTGCCAGGGACGGCTGGTAGCCCCGCTTTAAAGGCTCAGCCCCAATGCCGTGTCTGTAATGAAAACTGAGATCCCTTCAGTTCTCAGTTGGAATGTTCTCAAAGTGTTCTCTGGATGCCTGTTGCCTGGTTATACCTCTGAACACATTCTGTCTATAAGTTACTCAAGTGGATGCCTTCATTTAATTATAATAAACATTTCCTTAGAAACCAGAACTCTCTAAGTTGCAAATGACAGAAACTCAAGACAGACTGGCTTAAGAAAAAAGGGGCATTTATTAGCTCAAATCTAAAATCAAGGGGCAAGACTGGCATCAGGTATGGCCCTCTGCCCAGAAGCCTGTCCGTCTCCGTCTCTTGACCTGCTTTCTTGTTTGGCTTCATTGTTAGGGAAGCTTTTCCACACGTTTAAAAGATGACTACTGAAAGCCTCAGGGTAACTTTTTCCCATTGAGTAACTGCAACAGAAAGATTTCCCCTTCCCAGTAATTTTATCAGATGTCCTCAGGCTGATGCCCACTCACCTGGCTTAGGTCACTTTTTCATCCATGAACTAATAATCACTGGGCTGGGGATTAATATTGTTAGTAGCTAAACATGAGTTGTTTGTCAACCCTTGGAGCCAGAGGATGGAAGCAGCCCCACCCATACCACATGAGCTGAGAAAAATGTAGAGCCTGCTACCAAAAGAAAGGGGATGTGGAAGCTGGTTAGGTACAAAGAGTACCTGTTCTCTGCAGTGTGCCAGGCACTGGGTGTGCATTACCCAACTAAGACACTCTACCACTATTCTCTGATAATGTAGGTGGTTTGTTAAGGAGATAGTCCCATGGTAAATGTCCGTGTATTTCAGTGAGTACTAATGAAGGGATGCCCAGAGGACTGTGGACATGCAAGGAAGAGTTGTTTAGGTGGCCAGTCTCCTGGAAAGCCCTTGAATGTTACCTGGAAGAGACGACATTTGAGTGGAGGGACTGAGCAAAAAGGAAAAAGGACTCATGGACATGGATAACAATGTGGTGATTGCCGTAGGAAGGAGGGTGTAAGGGAACTAAATAGTAATGGAGAAAATACAATAAAGATTACTTTTTTAAAACATGAAGAAAATTAAGACCTATCCTGATTTAGAAGGGAAAAAAATGGGAAGGACATTCTGGACCAAGAGGATAGGTGAACAAAGAACAGACATGCTATAGGCCATTCCTATCGGATCATCAAGGAGAAGTGGTAAGAGATGAAGCTGGAGATTCAGGGTTTAACATCACGTGAAAGAATGTGATCTACTTGATGAGGAGCCGTTCGTTGAAGGGAAGAGACGATCAACTCTGGGCTTACGTAGAATCACTGGTAGCATTGTAGAAGATGGATTTAAGATGAACCAGATCAGAAGCAGGGAGACCAATCAGAGTGCTGTTGCCCCAAAGTGGATCTGAATTTAAGCAGGAATAGAGAGAAAGAGGAGGGGCTGGTTGGAGAAGTATGTAGAGTAAAATCAGACCATCTTGGTGACTGACTGGGAAGGAAAGAATTTGGGTGGCTAACATATGTTGGCTTGGGTGACCGATACATGTTTGTTCCTCTAAAGCTCTGGGGGGTAAAAGAGTATTAAAAACTTTGGGAGAGAAAGGCAATTCAAATTTTGTACATGTTATATGGAAGATGCCTGTAGAATATCCAGATACATCAGTCCAGCAGGCAGTTGGAATCTGTTGTTTTCAGGAGAGGTCAGTGCTGGAATTGAGGATTTAGGAGTCAGCAGCAGGTAGGGAACAGTCAAAATCACTGCATTTGGGTGGGTGGAGAGGAGGATTAGGGTGAGACAAGAGCCAAGGCCAGGGCTCCAGGTAACACCGGTGGGTAAGGGACTGCCGAGGGGGGTCAGGACACACAAGGGACTGAGGAGGAATGCTCATAAGGGTGGGGGGAGAACCAGAAGACAGTAGTATTACAAAAGTTAAAGAAAACTAGAAACATCCCAGAGGTCCATCATCAGAATGGGTAAATTGTGGTGTACGTATAAAATGAAATACTACACAGCAATAAATAAACATGAACTGCTGATACATGCAGCAATTATGTGGATAAATCGAACAGGCAGTATGTTGTACATAAGAAACCAGGCACAAATTAGAACATACTTATAATTCCATTTACATGCATTTTAAGAGACGTAAAATTAATTTATAGTGAGGCAGAAGGATGGTTACTTTTTGATAGGGTGAGGAAGACTCCCTTTGAGCAGTATTGGCTAGGAAGGGGTTTGGAGGACCTGCTAGGATGATGGAAATGTTTTTTTTATCTTGATTGAGGTCACAGATGCATAGCCATGTACACATGTAAACAGCTCTTGAGTTGCGCTCTGAAGATTTGTGCACTGTACTGTATGTAAGTTATAGCTCAGTTTTAAAAAAAGCGAAAGGATTAGGGAACTCAGGAAGCCATGAGTGGACAGCAGTGGTTAAGTGTTGGAGAGGGATCTAGTAAGTTAAGTACTGAAAAGCTGGATGTTGTAAACAGAAGGACTGGATTTCATGATGCCAACATTCTCTTGGTCAGTGCACAGCAATCTTGGTGAGCTGAATTGAATTGTTGATGAACGGTACTCGTTTTTTCTATTCAGGCAAGAAATACAGCCTATGAATGGATCAGGACATCTCTGGAGAAGCCATTAGAAGAGAAGGAAGGAGAAAAACAGTTGGAAGGAGAAAGAACTGAACAAATCGATAAAAATTCAATAGAGGTAACCAAAGCAATTAAGGTTTTTGTGGGGTTTTTTTTTTCCCCCTTTTTAAAGTTTTGGGATGGGGGTATTGTAGTCAGGGACCTAAAGTGCTCTGCATTTGTTGCTCTGCCATCCATGATTTCTACCTTGTTTTCCAAGATTACACCATCTTAGTTCCCGACTCTAGGGTGGAAGGAGGGGGTGAAGAAAGAGACAGAGGGTACATGTGTGGTGTCCTGACGCTTTCCAGAAGCCGCCACAGGACGCTTTAAATCTTTTGGCGAAAACTTAGTCACATGGTCACACCTGACTTTAGGGCAGCCTCTGTTTTTGCAGCTGTGAGTCCAGATGTAAAGTCACGTTACTACTATGTAAGAAGAAGAGGTTTACTGAAGGGTGTCAAGGCACTAAATCTTTCAGTATGAGAGAAACAAGGTGGTTAAAAAAGAAAAGATTAAAAAAAATAAAAAGAAAGAAACCTGTGCTTTGCTTTGTTTTGCCGTCCAGGACATCCATGCGTTTGCAATCCGGAGCCTAGCAGAACTGACTGCCTGCTTTATCGAACTGTTCCACAAAACAGCAGCTCTGGTTCTGCATGGCCGGAAACAGGAAGTGACAGCTATAGAAAGAAGCAGAACCCTTTCCCAGTAAGTAATAAGTATCCCTCTAAATGTTACAAGTTGCTGAAAGTTTTCTTGGCTTATTTCCAAAATTTTAGAAACTTTCAACAAGATGCGATACTATTCACACTGTATCATTCACATATTAGATGTTTGCTCATTTTGGGTTTTAGTTAGTATGTAGCCAAGTATGGTATTTCTTTTTACTGAGCCATTAAGTCTACATTATAATTCTGCCCTTTTTATTAACTACGTTTTACTTTGAAAATTAGTTCTTCTCAGATTATTAGCCTTAGTAGAAATAGGATTTTATATAAGTAAAAGCAGAAAACAGTTTTAAGAATCTCAATTCTGGATAATTAAGTTACTGAGTGCTAAGTATATACCAGGTACCATGCTAAGGCATTTATATGTATCATTTCTAATTTTTATAACAACCTTAGATGATCAGTAAAGCTTTAAATGTGAAGAAGTACAGACTTAAGAGAAGTAATCTGCCCAGGTTATCCAGAGTAGGAGTTAAACCTTTTTTTCCCCCACTATATTGGTGATTTAACAAAAATTTCAAAAATATCCCTGGCTGGTATGGCTCAGTGGATTGAATGCCAGCCTGTGAATCAAAGGGTCGCTGGTTCGATTCCCAGTCAGGGCACATGCCTGGGTTGCAGGCCATGTTCCTGGTGGGGTGCGTGTGAGAGGCAACCACTCATTGATGTTTCTTTCTCCCCCTTCCCCTCTGTCTAAAAATACTAAAAATAATAAATAAAAAAATAAAAAATAATAGAATTTATGTAGTCAAAGCAGGGAAAAGGAGAGCTACTACTTTTAAATAAATCTCTTAATTGAATAATGAGAATTTTCACTGGAAAGACATGTGTGAGAGAGTGTCCAGCACGCTACAATTGGGAGGGGCCTTTGATGTCCTCCAGGCCTCTTTTTCACCTGCAGTTTTGATGCCCCTCTGTAACATCCCACAAAGAGATGCCTGGCTTTGTCTTGAACACCCTGAGGATGGGGGACTCAGAACCCCAGAGCAGCCTGCTCTGTGGAAAAATGGCTATTTCTACTGCTTGGAATGCCCTTCCATTCGTGACTCACTCCCTCACCGCATTCAGGTTTCCACTCCGTGCTGCTTCCTTTCACCACCCAGTCTAAACCAGTGCCTTCTTTCTACTTGTTTCTAATCCTCCGCTCGCTTTATTTTCTTAGCTCATATCACCACCCAGTGTGTGTGTGTGTGTGTATGGATATATGGATGCGTGCATGTTTATATGTATAGTATATATGTGTGTATATAAACACATATACACCTCCATCCATGTGTGTGTATATATATATAGTCTTCCCTTTAATTAGCAAGTGAGTTAGAATCCGTGAAAACTTGGACTTTGCTTATTTACTGATCCATCCCCAGGACTTAAGAGTCAGGCACAAAGACAACTTCCAAAAGATACTTGTTGAATGAATGCATATTTTAATTATATTTCTAAATGGAATGTAGGATCTTTTAAGCATCATCTTGTCTCCTTAAAATGTATTTTAGTTATTTTTCTTTGATTTAACTTGGAAGTAGATGACTTTCTAGAGGATTTTGTAGGAAAATGTTTTTCCAAGGAGAGAATTTCCTCTTCCTGCTGCCTGAATGCTTACTCACATGGGTCCCCAAATACATCAGGCAGCTGACTTAGGCACATTTACTCCCTTTGAAAGCTTTCTTCTTCCACATTTAGTTCCAGGAGTGATTTATTTTCTTCTGGCAGTTGTTAGGTGTAGTTTATTAGAACACAGAGAGAAAGAAAAACGAAAAAGGAGCCCTCCTGACATTTCTCCCTTCTTTCCCAGGATGACAGTGGTGCTGTGCAGAGAGCTGTCCTTGCTGGCTAAAGAGTTCACCACCTGCCTAACAACTGCCGGGGTAAGGGTGCCCGCCTGCTAGTGGGTGGATGTCTGTTTTGTTTCGTTTTTTTAAACAGCTTTATTAAGATACAGTTTACACGCCATAACATTTGCCTGTTTCAAGTGTACAATTTAGTGGTTTTATAATATATTTATAGAATTATGCAACCATTGCCATAATTAATTTTAGACTATTTTCATCATTTCCCAGAAAACTTCATACCATTAGCAGTCATTCCTTTTCCCTCCATATTCTTCTAACCCAAAGAAACACTAATCTACTTTCTGTCGATAGATTTGCCTATTCTGGATATTTAATATGAATGGGATCATACAATATATAGCATTTTGTATCTGGTTTCGTCACTTATGTTCTTGAGGTTCACCCACATTGTATCAATTTTTATTACCAAAAAAATTCTAGTTCATGGATATATACCATACCCCCTTCCCCTGTATGTATCCTTATGCCAGTACCATGTTGTTTTTATTAGTGTAGCTTTGTAATCAGTTTTAAAATCAAGAAGTATAAGCCTTCCCACTTGGTTCTTCTTTTTCAAGATTATTTTTGTATTTGAAGGGTTTTCTATATGAATTTTAGGATTACCTTGTTTATGTCTGATTTTTGCAGCTCTTTTTGTTCTTTTTAAAGTCTGCAGTATATTTTGTGCTGTTCTCTGAGACTGGTATGAGAAATGGAGTCTTTGATAAAATAAGAACCCAAAGTTCAACTCTGGTTTAAGGACCGGCACCTTAGGCTCTGGCAACTCTGCAGATGCTAGCAGATGGGTGTATGTTGCAGATGCCAGTCAGTAGGACAGTTGTAGTTAAAGCTGACTTTTTTTTAAGGTATTATAAAAATGTATTGAGGGTGTATGAACTATGGAAGATGATTCAGAAATCAGTAATCGTGAATTAGGATAAAGTGAAGGGCATTATAAATAAGCAAATAAAAATTACTTTGTAGTAAATTCAGCTCATGATACAGAGAACAGATTGGTGCTTGCCAGATGTAGGGGGTGCAGGTGGGCAAAGTACATGAAGACGGTCAAAAGGTATAAACTTCAGCTGTAAAATAGATCATGGGGGGTGCAGTATGCAACATGGTGATGGTATTAATAATGCTGTACTGTGTATTTGAGAGTTGTGGAGAGTAGATCCTAAAAGTTCTAATCACAAGAAAACTTTTTTTTTTTACCTAAACTTACTGTGGTGATCATTTTGTAGTATTTGCAGATACCAAATCATTATGTTGTACATCTGAAACTACCACTAAAGTATTACATGTCAGTTATTACCTCAATTAAAGTAAAAATTACTTTATAGTAAGTATATATAAGTGTCATTGTGGCAGCAGTTATTCTGAATCCTTAAATTTATTTCGGTTAAGAGCATGGCCCAAATTTAATTCCTTTACTTTTGAATTCATATTATACCTTACAGATATAACTGAATGATATAGCTTCTCTTTTCCTCTTATATTTTCTTTAAAAGAGATCTTGGTTTCCTGAAGTTAATCTTTTGAGGCCAAATCTTCCCATGTGTTTCATAAAGGTGCTTGAACCCAGTAAGTCAGCTGTAAGAGCTAACACATGCGAGCAATAAATTTGCATTGTTTTTGTGGTTTTCACACAGCCATCTTAAAAACCATTGAGTATTTTGAGCACACATTTCATATCTGCATATTTTGTTTTAAAATTTTTCTGAAGTTTTTTGGTGAGATGTCCCATGTCTGTTCCCTCTTCCAAAATGAAAATACTTTTAAAAATCAATAAAAAATTGCAAAGGTATACATTTCTCAATTTGGATAGCACAGAAAGATAGAAGGAAATTTAAAGCACTTCCAGAGATGACATTTTGCTCTCGCAGTCCAGACTCTTTCTATGCTTACATTTATGTATGGGTGTGTGTATATGTTGTGTGAGTGCGTATGTGTACACACGTGTTTCAAAGTGGGATCATACCATGTTGATTGTTTTTTTAATCTGTTGTATTTACCACTTTGTCCTTTATTCTAGGCCAAAGAAAAGGCAGACGTCCTTAATCCGTTAATTACTGCAGTATTTCTAGAGGTTAGTAGCAATTGTTTTTAAGTCTCTAACTTCTGGGCATTTTGTATTAACTCTTCTTAAGTCTTTATTTTTTGGCTTTTTTGTTTTTTTCACGAGATTGGTAGGTTAGCCATATTGATGCATATATGACCAAAATGATGTATATCTGATGAATATTCCCTCCTCATTAATTACAAAATATAAAAGATGAAGCTTCTGGGTAAAGTACACAGGAAAAAGTAGTACTATAAGTTACCATTACTTTGTACTAGTATTTGGCAGTTAATGGACAACTCTCAGTAACAAAACACCTTCTGGAGACCGGCGGGTAAATATGAAGGGTTGAAACTAAAAACAGGCAAGCATTGCTTCTTAAAGAGTTAAGGTTTATGAGAGATTTATTAAAATGGAACAGAATAGTTTGTCGTTTTCTTGCCAAGAAATTTACTTTGTTTTGTCAAAGGGGTAACCATGATTACATAATCTTTAGTCCATTAGATATGAGGAGGAGGGTTGTTTAAATCCATGGAAAATGGGGTTCAGGAGGAGCCCACAATGAATTATATCGCTTCCATGGGTGACACTTTCTGGATTCCATGTTTTAAGAACTCTATCTTATAAATTAATTGTGTGAACAATTTAGATGTTTGATGATTTCTTTAAAACATTTATGTAAGTCTGGGGGTGGGGAGAAAATATATTTGATAATTGGTTAATATGAATTAAGAAAGACTTTTTTTTTTTGCTTTTGGACTGTTACTTTAGTTTTAAATTATGTTAAAGTCACCACCAATGAGATGTCTTTCATTCTTTTAACTGCACAATTTACCTTGAACAGTCAGGGAGATCATTCTGATTGCTTAAACAACTTTTTAAAAAGTAAGTGTGTGATTTAGTAGATGGCAGAGTAGTATGGGTGAAAGAAGTTTGCAAACCAGGAGCCTAGCCCTGTCCTGGATCTTTCCTGATTTTCGCTGCATGACCCGACACCAGGCATTTACCTTCTTAGCAATCTCAGTTTCCTTATTTACAAAATGAGAGATTGAACTGGAGAGCCTCAGAGGTCTCTTTGGCTTGGAAATTCGATATCAGATGTCTCGCTGAGGTTTAAATAGGAGTACTTGCCATTGGTAAACTCAAAACAGGTGAACTCACTTGATATGGGTTCTCTGTTGCTATTTTGAGTTGATTGTTGTTGCTTACAGATTTGAAACACTTGTCCTTGCAAGTATACATTTTACCTTAATGTAATGAACTCTGTTGTTACTCTTTTGGAAGGTCAGAATTTGTCAGATATAAAAGAAGTCTGGCAAAATCTGAGCATGATTTCATAAGGCTTGTCATAAATATGTTTGTTCTACTAGACAGAAATATATCTACACTGTATCATCTTTGAAAGCTGTATTCCTTGTTTATATTTGTGAGTACCTGTCTCATGTTCACTGATTGTGTTAAGTCCATAAAAGAGGAATTATCACAGTGGGCTGGAAATCCTATTGGGGTAGGTTTTATAGGCTTGTGAAATCCTCTTTGAGTAATTGAGTAAAATGCTGTGACAGGATCTTCCCGTTCAATCAAGGAATAAATAAGCTTTGAGTGCCAGATTTGAGCAGGATGCCAAAGAATGGCTATTATTTCTGATGGACAAGTTGGACAAAAATGCTGACTTTTTTTGTGCTTTCACGCTATCTTAAGAGATAGATTATTCTTTTCCCGTGTGACTTTACTGAAATGGTTAAAGTCTGCCCTTATTTATTTGCCAGATTCAATTAGATTTATAAAAATTAATCTTTGTTGTTGCTGTTGTTGCTGTCTTATGGCGTATTTTTTAAGTGACTGCTGTTTTTTTTCCAATCCCAACAGGCATCAAATAGTGCTTCTTATATTCAGGATGCCTTTCAGCTCCTCTTGCCTGTGCTGGAGATCTCGCTCATTGAGAACAAGACGGAGTTGCCGGACGAATGAGCTGCAGGGCCAGAAGCCTTTGTCAGAACATTGAGAACAGAGAAGATTGACCTGAGACTTGTGATGGCCGAGAAATGCCATTCTGTTTTGGGTACCCTTGCAGAACTGAGGGGGAAGAGTTCTTTTAGCCTGTAAAAATTCAGGCAGGATAGCAGTTTCACAGGAAGTTTGTTGCCCTCACCGTTTGGCTGACGTATTCAGATTCTCACACTATTCTCCCCAGTTGTTTTAATTAATAAATTATTTGAAAAGAAACTTTTTAAAGAATGTTAAAAATATTACCTCTAGCTAAAGGTTAGTGGGACATTCAGGTAAAAATATCGGTCTTTTCTTTGATGGTGCAGAACACTAACAATTTTGTCAAGGATACAATTTTGTAGCCCATGGATAGGATTGGTTGTTAAGCAAGAGAAAAAGTACTTAATTTAATCTGGAATTCATGTGCTTGATCTGTTGATGTCATGCACTTTCTTTCTTTAATAAAATCTATGGCTTTAAGAAACTGAGCATATATAAACTCCGTGATGATTACCTTTTATTACACAAATTCTTGGAATTGGTTAGAAAGTTTCATCTGCTCTTTAATTCTCAGCAGATAGCTGGCATTGAAGAGAAGCTTATTGAATATACTTGTAGTCCCACGAATTAACTGTAGCAATAGCAATGTGCCCTTTGGCTTCAGATTGCCCTCCCACCCCAAAATGACAAGCTCCAAGTTGTAGTTGACCTCCACTCAACTGGATTCCAGACCAAGAGTGCCATTTAGAGAAACAGTGTTATGTTTGCAGGTGTTCTGAGTCTCTGCAGGGTGTTTTCCATGCATACATGTCCCGTGTGCAGGATGAACTCTGTAAGAGCCAGCTCCGGGGAGTGTGGAAGCGCTTTTAGGCATGGGGTTTTGCTGTTCGAATCTTGTTGAGGTGGACTGTAGAGTCCCGTAGAAATGATGTTCATTTATCACAGGATTTGACCTGTTAGGTATGGTATATTTTTCTCCATTCTTTTGGTTTTAATGTATTCTTTAGCATGTTTATAAATACAGCTTTATTCTTTAGATCTCCAGCCTCCTCTTTGTTCTCTTTGACAATTTAAGAGACTAAAAGGGTGTCATCTTTCTACAAGCTATTTTGGCATTCTCTTTTTTAGAAAGTTCTTCAACTTTGTGATTTTTAATGATTTAGAGAACTTTTGTGAGTTCTGCCATTCATCTTCTAAAACCTTTAAATAAAATGAAATAATTGTTTCAGTTGATCCCTTCATTTGTTTAAATATGAGCCCTGATATCTTTCTCACACCAAAGAAATCACAAAACCATAATGAAGACTGATATCAAGACTGTCTCTGTGTAATCACCTTATTTGGGGTAGGGGGCAGTTTGCAAGCAAGGAGGTATGCCAACCACACAAAAATTTAGCTCTGCTTTTATTTTCCTCTAATGTGATCAGAAAAATTATTGAATATTTCTTTTTTATATAGACAAATTTTATCCACCCCAAAGTGAGTAATTTTGCAGTTTCAGAAAAACAGTTGCCTCGTTGTTAATAAAGTTGGTGTTCCAGTTCTGATTTGTTGCCTCAAGCTGAGTTGCTGGGTCTGAGCTTGAAGCCCTTGAGCAGGGTGCTCTGTGAGGAAGATTCAGAGCTGGTCACACACTGCCTGCTGCCTGCTCAGACTCCTGTAAACTGGAAACCCACAGTTTCTGCTCTTTGATCCAGAAGCACATCTAAGGCTTTCTTTCAAGAGGAGAGAGATGGATGTGAGGGACAGAGCAGTGACTCTTCTTTTGTGTCTAACTAGAATGTAGTCCTGAATTGGACCAGGTTTAGATACGACTTTACAAAAGCCAGGTGTGACTCACTGCCTTTTTTTCTTCCTCATTTCTCTCTTGAGCTTCCCACCCCCATCCACCCAAATATTTTTTAATGTATTTAGGAGACCACCAATGAGATGTCAAAAGGACCGGTTAATTCTGAATAACACCTAAAATACATGAAAAATAAAGTTCCTTGATTCAGTAGAGATAGAAAAATAACAGCATAAACATTCATTTGTAGGTGAATAAATAGGTCAGTTTAGGAGACATTTTGGAACCTGTTGGATTGTGACGATGGTTTTCGGATGGTACCTGCTTCATTATTCTGTTTGAGGTGGGTACATGATGTAGTTTTTTGATGATACCTACTCTTTTGGTACTTTTCCTTTAAATTTTCTGGTGTCTAGGTTTACTGTTATGTCCTAATACATGCTACCACCCTTTCCAATTCACTTAACAGCTCAATAGGTAACATGTTCAGTTACAGCTGGAGTAAATGCTTCTTTTCCTACTACTGAGATCTTTAGAGGCTATGATTAAAAAGAAACTATAAATTTGATATAAAATAGATTGATTCTTGTTTCATTTTCCATTTTATATAGGACCTCAGAAACTTGTTGGACAAGCTATTTTTTCTTACTGCTTTTGATTATGTGTGTGTGCGTGTATGTATATGTGTGTGTGTGTGTATATATATATATATTAAAATATATATATATATATATATAAAACACTTTTTAAGGCATAGATACCCAGATTGATGAACCTCTGAAATGTGAAATAGTAATTCATATAGGTGGCATTCCCACAAATCTGAAACTATGGCTCTCACACACACACACACACACACGTTTCCTACAGTCAGGTAACAGGACCTGTGGGTTCTTCTACCTAAATGAGGACTCGCTCTTTGCACTTGTTTTTATCTAAAGACCTGCTCGAGGGAGAGATGTTTTATAAATAGTTGCTATTGATGTCATCATTTGAGAAAGACATTTTCCTGTATTTTTAGATACCTTCTCAATTTTAAAGGTGAGAATATTCTTCATGTTGGGAAAATCCAGAATAAAATTGTAGCCACAGTGAGCGCCTAGTAAGCACGATATTTCACAAATGGTAAATATTGAAATCTCCTATTATGTCTTAACAAAAATGTGATGCTCATTTTCAGAAAAGACTTGAAGTATTTGAGAAATGAGGAAGTTCTAACAATAGCAGGCCTCTTAACTAACTTTTCATCAAGATCTCTGGCTAATATGTATGAGGAGAATTTTGAGAACTTCCTCCCTAGTGTCATTTTCCAACTGCACCCTGATACGCCTCAAGCACCAGTTCACTCATTCCCCTTGTTTTACTTCCGGCTCTTGTTATTTCATTGTCTCGTTATTTCATCATTTGGTCAAATCCCCAAATTTGGTCAAATTCACATCCAACTGTTGCTTCCCCAATCGACTCTTCAGGGAAGATTTTTTTTTTTAAATCGAGCATTCTCTGGATTCATTTGTCCTTTAAGCGAAAGGCGAAGACGGCCACGATCGATCACCCCGGCCTTGCACATCAGTGTGGAGTTTCCCAGACGTGTCCGTTTCTGGCTGGCCTACTGTTGTCAAGGGCAGATGCGGAGACTGCAAGTGGAGTGACGTGCTCCGTTTCTGCTTGTCAGCCTCGCCTGTCTCTGTACACACAGGAAGTTGCTATGCTGTTAATCTAGCTCTAAAGAGGAATGCATTTTCCCAGCTTCATTGTGAATGCACCGATATGCTTAGTTTCTTAAAACATTTTTAAGTTGGAATGGGAGTAGCTCGTGGCAGAGTTTCGACCAGCCAGTCTCACCTGGTGACTGCTGCACTGACCCCGGCAGTTTCAGCTAAGCCCGTGGAGGCCTGAATTGCCTTCACACCCATTGTAGATGTTTCTGTCAGAATTGAAGGGTTTTACTTAACCGTTTTCTTCCTTTACTTCTCCCACACATACCACTGAGAATAATAAGAACTGCAGAGTCAGCATGTGTGTTGTAGCAAAAGTTTCCAAGTTAGAATTGAATATACACATTTATGTCAGTAAATCAGCAAACACTCAAGCTATCTTTTTTTGGTCTTTGTTTTGCTTGCCCTGAGTTTCCAGCTTCTGGCATAGGGTCTGACACATGGTAGGACATATATGTTGGCTGAATGAAAGAAAAGAAAGAGGAAGAAAAGGAAGGAAAGTGGGGAATAATAAGGCAAATATGGGTGGCCTAGTGCTTTGCTGGTAGAAGAGAATACAGAGCTGGAAGGGACTCTCAGGCAAATAAGGTTAAAACCCCTCATTTCACAGCTAGGTACAGTGAGACCTTGTAGGCAAGTGAGTCCCCTGAAGTCACACAGCTGATAGGATGCTCTGGGGGGACCTGAATACAAGTTTTTGGATGCCTGGCCCGGCCTCTTTCTGCTGCACCAGCGCCACACCAGGGCTCTGCACACACTGAGAGGCTACTCCCAGGCACGGGCTGGGGAACAAAATGCAGAACGCGTGGCCTCTGCCCTGTGGGAGGCCACATGGGTGCCACTAGCTGAGCAATGTCTGCATCCTGGATGCAAAGCCATCTGTTGTAATGAATTGTGGGCGAGTTGGATGGACTCATCCCAAATCTGGTTATGATAGTTGGGTCTGGTCAGCATGGCAAATATTTGCAGATGCATCCATCAAAACCCTCAAATTGTTACTTTTGTTTTGGTGGCTTTTGTCTTAAGTGGCCAATTTCTGCTGTATATAGAACTGCAGAGAGATCTACTGTTCATCAACCAGCAACAGTTAACAGGACACTAACGTGTGTGGAGCAGCTTGAATACCAGGTACCGTGGAATACACCTTTCTCTGTAAATTCCCAACCGCTCTGCGAGGCGGGACAGTGACACCTTCATTTATGGGCTTGCAGGGTGCTGTGGACATGCAAAACTGAATCTCAGCTCCCTCATTTTCCAGCCCAAGGATCACGAGCAAGTGACTTAATCCCTTAAATGCAGTTTTGTCATCTGTAAAATTATTCTCATAATAGCACTTGTATTCTAAAGTCATTGATAAGATTACATAAAATAATCTGTGTACAGTACTTAGAATAGTGCCTGCCACAGAGCAAGATGAGCGAATGCTTTGTGAACACTGTGTGGCCCACACTGTTCTGAACATTTTGTACGTATTACTTCAGTCCTCATGAAATAGGAAGCAGGAGCATGCCCATTTACAGATGGAAAACTGAGGCACAGAGAGGTTAACTAAGTTGCCTCAGGTCACCATACCCAACAAGTGGTAGAGTCAGGATCCCGACCCAGGTGGCTCGGTACCAGAGTTCCTGTTTTTAACCATTACATTACACTGATAGCTGCTGCCACAAGCTATCAGTAAAAAAATGTCACTGCCTATTAGCTACTTTATTACAATGATTATGAAACAGATTTAGAGAGTTAAGTGACTTGCTGAGATTGCACAACTCTAAGGGTAAGAGCCTCTGCAATGTGCGGTCGGGTCATCTGGCTCCCCAGCTCATGTTTGTTGTATTTTATTTCTTGTAGGGGAAGAGCTTGGAGGTGCCTGTCTGGTGATCAATATGTGTGGGGGAACATCTGGGCAGATTATCCAAAGCCACTAGGAGTTGGCGTAGAAAGGACGGTGTGGTGACACGTCATGTTTGCAACAGCCAGAGCAAAGATGGCAGTGAAGGAAGAGCATCTGCATCACTTAGTGATCAAAGGAGGGAGGAGTGCTCCAACATTCACAGCTTTATTCATATGGCCCCAGACCGGAAACTATGTGGATACCCCTCAGCCGGTGAATGACAGAACGAATGCAGTGCACCCACGCCACGGATTGCTACTCAGCAACCAAAAGGGACAAACTATTGATACACAGAAGAGTTTGGATGAATCTCAAGGGAATTATGCTGAATGAAAAGAATAACCAACCCTAAAATATTACATACTGTATAGTTACATTCATGTAACATTGAAATGTCAAAATTGTAGAAACAGCTGGTGAACAGTTGCTGGGGGTTAGGGATGGGGCTGGGGGAGGAGGGAGGATGGTATGATTTTAAAAAGGTGACTGGAGAGCTCCTTGTGGGGACGGAGCACCTTGGCTGTGGTGGTGGCTACACAGACCTGCTTGTGATAAAGTGTACAGAGCTGAGTGTGCACTCCCACGTGTGCGTACAAAGGAAAACCAAGAACTCTGAATGGTAGGTGGATTGCATTGCTGTCAATAGTCTGGTTCTGAAATTGGGTAAAGGGCACACAGGATCTCACTGTTTCTTACATTTGCATGTGGATCTACAATGATCTCAGTAACAATTTCTATTTTTAAAGAGGGTAGGAGGGGGGCCTTGGGCTAAGGGAACCAAAGAGTGAAGAAACATTGCCCTCTTCCTGGGTTTAACAGACACCCAGGGGTCCTGTGAC